GGGGGGGCTACAGGCACTTAGGGATATTGAACAAGAAGCAAACTTTAGATTGTAGCGAGCCTTTTAGTGATGTCATTAATTTAGAAGGGACGATGGTGCTTATAAAGTGCAGCTGGCAAACTTGTCGGCCGGGGCGCGGAAGTGGCTGCACTTTGAGAATCAGAAGTGACGCGGTTGGAAATTGAGCGCGGCCGAGTCAATATGGCCGCGGTAGTTGGCGAAGCATCGTGTGACTGATGACAGTAAACCGCATAAAGATGTCAACCTAAAACCTTCCCCTGCGTGGACACAAACTCTACATCCCTGTCCTCCATCTTTAATGGAGATCTTTTCATGCAAGATTTATGAGCAACAATTAAGTGATGATGACTGCCACTAATTAAAGAGGTAGAGGGTGTTCCCCCCACACCCCCCCTTCAAGAAAATAGCCAAAGGGGTGGCTGTGATGAGAGAGGACGATGTGTTTGGTACACACACCTGTGATGATACGAGTGAAGTTTGAGGTTTTTGCTGATTAATTAATTATCCACCGGTGGGTAACTGTGCGGAATCCGGTAATTATCCGTTTTCAGGATAGTTTGTTATGTAACATGAGTTACACCTGTGGATACTAAATTAAAGCTCACGCTTTGCCTGACACGCTTGAGGAAGTGTTTATTTTTGTTTGTAGTTTGACTTTTTTTTTTTTTTTTGCACTATTTTTCGACATAAGTCAAAATATTTGAAAAGAGTTCCCAGTATGTGACAGTACCAGTTCTACCTTCGCAAGGATAAATCTTGGAAAACATATTGTAGACCAGCAATTTGAATTTGTGGCGTTTCAAGGAAGGCGCTTGCCAGTCAGCAGCCTTCTAGCTAGTGGCTAGCATAAAATGCTAACGCAGCAGTCTAAGTGCCTTCTTGTCAAACGTCATATAAGACTCAATGGACTGAAATGCAGACCAAAAAAGCAGCCCAAAAAAGGGCTGGCACGTGGGAGTTTTGTCCGGGGGGGGGGGGGGCCTATCAAGTCAACAGGAAGTGAACAAAAACAGGATGGAGAAACCTACCGGAGTAAAAGTGGTAATGGTGCCAAACCCCGTGGAATTGAACCAACAGTTTTTCCCTTTTTTCCAGAGAGAAGAAAGCAAGCGTCTGGTTGGGAGAAGAATTTGCTGTATCCCATAGTCATGCTAATATTACTGGCGGGAACGGTGAGTAACCTATCGTTAAGCGTCCCCCCCCCCCAATGCTGAAAAGAAAAATTGCAATTTTTAATATCCATTTCTGTCAGAATGAAAAGAACAATGTTTTTTTTTTTTTTTTGATAGAAGCAAAAAGTGAATCCACTTGATTTGCTTTCATGAGCCACAAAAAAATAATAATGAAAAAAAATATAAAGGCTCACCTATATATATAGATATATATATATACATATTTTTTTGGGGGGGGGTCTAAATGTTCCCCGTGATTTTTTGCTGGCACCCAGCAGCTCACCGGTGACCCGAAGGATGATGATGAGCGCTGAAGAAAATGGATGGAAGTTATCACATTAGCCAGAATGCTAACCTAATGCTACTAATACGAAAACGGTCCATGCTAAACTAAGCTAAATTGGTTATAACGTTTGAACAAGAGGCCCTCAGTTCACTCGAGGGCTAAAATACGTTTCAAAACTCAGGAAGTGTTTATCATTTATGGTCAGGTGGTGTCATCTGAGTATTGATTCTTACTATCTGTCCGCAGACAATCTCGGTTCTTCTCGTGGCGCTGAACATCCTCTACCTTCTCGTGGACGAGACTGCCATGCCCAAGGGTTCCGCGGTAATCCTTCACGTTAATTACTGGAAGTTGAAACGCCGTAGTCATGTTTAGTGCATTTTTCCTTTTCCATTCATTTTTGCTAGCATGTGCTTTTATTTTTTTTTTTTTTGTTTTGGTTTGGCGACCACTGGTCGAAGTGACATGTTTTTAATCCCCACCCCCACACACCTAAAATGGAGAGTCCTATCTGACCTGCCAGATTCTGAGACATAAATCAAATTCCGGATATGCTCAGGTGCATGGTTGGAAGAAAAGACCCAGGCAGATGTTAATCAGGGCCTCAACTTTTTTTGTTTTGGAAGCTCATTGAAAGTCACGTCGCGGCACTTGCAAAAAAAAAAAAAAAAAAACGTGCACGCGGCGGCACGTCTCAAGTCCCGAGATGGTTGAAAGAGCCGCTTTTCCTCGCTCGGGAGAGTTTCATCTCCGCCTATCATGCGATGTGTTTTAAACTCAACTTATCACGTCTCATCTCCGCCGACAGAGGTGTACTGTATGTGTGCGAGCGCGGTTGCATTCTTGTCTCGGCTCGGGCAACATTATGTATCGTGTTTCTCCATCACTTCATTTGACGCTGTCACGTGGAAAACTGACGGGAAAATTCCCCAAATTACCTTTTTTTGGGAGTCTACTAAATGCTTTATGGTCCTCTCATCTGAGAGTCAATTGAAGGACCGACTTTGTCATGGAAAAAAAAAAAAAACAAGTGTGATATAGACAACTTGGCATGTAAAAGGGAAGAAAATGTGAACTAGTTTCCCCCTTTACGGTTATAAAAGCTTCCACGCTTTCTACCCACAACTACTTCTTTGTCCATATCTTGCGTTTCACACTGAACTCCTCCGAGCACCCCTTGAGGAAAGTTGGAACAGAGGACGACGGTCGCCCAAATTGTTCCCGATTGGAAACGGTGCGACTGCCCGAACAAAATGTCTTGTTCGATGAAGATTTGAAATTGAAACCGAGTCCAGCCTAATTATTGTCCAATCAAAAGTTGATCTGTGAAAAGTCTTTAATGCAATTTACGAAATCAGGAACAGGTACATTGAACGGTGAAAATAATGATAACCAAAATGTATCCCAGCAAACATTTTGGACGCAATTTTTCAAGTTCCATATCTAAAGTCAGCTCAAACGAAAGTGATACTTCATTTTGAAGGACATGGAATCAAATTGGAAGATTTTTTTTTTGACAAGTAGGATGCAAGCCATCGGCGAAGAGTGCTCCAACTTTTTTTGCCCGTATTATCTCTAGATCGAAACGACGTAAAAGAAAGCTCAGAGAGAGTGTTGTCAAAGAGATCCAGACTGTGGGAAAGTCAAATGAGGCTGATTGTTGCGTCGAGTGGGGGGGGGGGGGCACACACACACACACACACACACAATGGAATTGCCCTGTCAATGTTTGCCTTCCCCTTCCCAACTAAGCAGGCTGAGCAGGCGGCACGGCATGGCTGTGAAACGGGATGACGGTGGTGATGATGAAGAGGAGGAGGAGGTGGGCAGGCAGGTGGGATGGCGATGAGGAAAGAGGCCAAGGGGGGAAAAGGAGGAAGTGGAGGGAGGAAAGTCTGTCATAGGACAACTTGTTTTACAGCCTGATGAACAAGCCCTAAGAGCAGCTAATAAAATTCTTACTGCAAGCCGACTACTCTGCTAGTCCAACACTTGACACTGTATTTTCCCTTAAGTGGACGATTAGCTGCGGGCTCAACTCCTTCCCTCCCGAGCGCAACGTTGTAAGCAATGACGTTGTGGCAACATCGCAACCCCCCCCGAGCTTTCGCAAATGCGACAATGAGCTCTTGGCAGCAACCAGCAGAGGCGCTGTTGAGTCCGCCTCGCTGGACGATGCCCGCTTTTGAACAGCCGCGTAGGCAGCGGGTTAGCGATTCGTCACAAACGGTCCCGCGGCGAGACGGTTGTCGTCATAAATTGAAGAAGCTTCCCGGCCTAGAGCACAGATCACGCAAAAAAAAAAAAAAGTTTTTTGGAATCGCTCCCGTAAGTGTACAGAAAACACCTCTCACTGGAACCGGGAGATGGATGTGATTAACTTGCAATGCGAAAAAACCTTAAAAAACGAATTTTCCACCAACTACTAAAGATAACGCCCCAAAACAGATGACTGATTTGACCCCCCCCCCACCCCCCATCGTCACTGTCTGCAAACAAGCCGTTCACGTGATGAGCGACAAATGTAACGAGTGAAGTGCTGCAGGCTGTACCGAGCACCCTTAACCTCCAACCTCCCACCGCACCC